TGCTACCTGGAGAGAAAGAGAAGTGGGAATATAACTGAAATTTGTAACCACCCCCGAAGAGAGACCTACTGTCATCCAGGCTCGGCTGCTCCATCTCGGAGTGCAAAGGGCCAAAAAGGTTCCCCGCCTCTCCCCAACCCCACCACCGCTTGAAGTTATATAACCTGCTGCTCTAGGACTGCAACGCTGAGAAAAGCTGTAGGACATGCTTGCCAGTTACATAATTGGTACCAATTTTCTATGAATAGACTTAATTTTATTAAACTTTCTGAGCTTCCATATGAATCATTCTGTTAATATTGACAGCAATGTGGAACTAGTTGAGTTAGAATGCATCACATTGAAGGAGATAAGTCAGCTTACACCCCTGCCAGTTCTAACGGGGGACAACACTTCCACCGGACACAGAGGGGCTTCCATGTAGCCACATAGGCTCTCCCCTCCCGCCAGGGCAGCTCAGAGCGGAGGGGGAACTGCGGGGAGACCGCCGAGAATGAGTGGGCAACAGAACCCAGCCAGCACCATCAGAGTCCGGAAATCCAGACATGTCTGTCCAGCACTTGAAAAACCAAAAAGGACAAAAGCAAATAGAAGGAAAATTACAGTAAAATGTTAGTTATCCCCTAAGGAAGACAGATAAGACATAACATTGTTTATATTTGTTCTAGACAGAGCAATCCAATTATTCAAAGGAGAAAAATGTCAGCACTGGGTACAAATTAATGAAACAATAGAGAACAAAGACTTATTTAAAATGCCCAATGCCTTAAAGAGATTCAGTAACAGTTCTGTTGAAATGTATTTGAAGAAACATGGGTCTGGGCACAGAGATATGATACAAAATGGGGGTGTTCATGAGAGTCGAGTGCTATTAAGGAACAAAAAATATCTTCAGGAGTTTTTTAAATCCCCAAGGATAACCACAAATCATTTTGTGCTCTAATCATCCTTAATTTATTAACCATGTTCAAAAGTATTTACAAATTTAGTCCTTAATTCATAAATGTAATTCTCTTAAATATAAATTACTTAGAATTATGTCAACAAATCATTTTTCATTTGAATCGCAACTGTTCGTGTATTACCCAAAATATCTCACCAACATGGAACCACACCATCAGTCAGAGTATTTCAGCCGTCTTCGTACAATGAAGACACTGTGGTGGCAGGAACAGTCAACTGCACTTCTTCAGATCATAGCCCAGAATAATCTCATCTTTAAAAGTCCTATCTCTTGTGTAAAACAATTATTTCAGTGTGTCACACCGAACCGGAATTGTCAAGCCCAATGTACAGACAACTCACAAGAACAGATACTGTTCTTGACACGATCATGACACAAAGGTTTAAACTGTCAGTGAAGAGGAGCAAATCTATGATACGTTTCTTTGATTCGTAATCATTCCTCCTTTTTTGGTTTTCCCACTATATTTTATTTAACCTTACAAATGTAAATGCCAATTTTCTGGGAGGACGCTGGTGGCAAGGTCATTAGACTGTTGGATGGATTTAATGTGTGCCTCCAGGAAATATGCAAACCTCATATGTGGTTAAGAACCTGCACCTTGAACAAAGTGCTTGTTACACACAGATAACTCCAAGTAAAATCTCAGGCTGTTAAATATATATTATCCCAGTGGCCCATTTCGTAAATTATGATTCTCTAAACTTAAGATAAATTTAAATGACTTCGTAAATGGAGACTTCTTAAGAGTTTGCTTTTTTATAAAAATTGAAACATGCAAATTCTAATGGAATTATTCAGTACTAATTTCTTTACAGAGAAAAATAAATCATTTGACCTTTTGTATTTAGGAAGGAGAAAGGGAAATCCAATTGCTGACTATGTTGACAAGTCTGTAAGTTGTAACGATTGATGTAACCATCAGTAGCATTCTCCATGTCAATGTTTAATCCCACAAATATACCTTCAAGGCTTTTCCCTACTAAGCTTACCACTCATTTTAAGATACTTTGACACAGAAGATTCACAAGCATTTTTATGATTTATCTGCTACATCAAATTTGCAGTGGACATTGCAACTTCTGCATGAAAACTTTAGCCATCTTTAAGCCTGGTACACTGGGGAGGTCAGAGGGTACACAGTTGTGGACTAGTCAATTTTTTTTTGAAAATGTCACCATCATTTCTATAGCAACCATTCTCTTATTTCAGTATGGCTGCTTTCCACAGAGAACACTATAGAGAACTCAGTCTTTAAATAAAAATGATATTGTCCTTAAAACATAATTAGCATTTTAACTCCTTTATACATTTGTAGAATTTCTAATCTATCTTTAACTTGCTTGCCTTGGTAACATATTTTGGTAGAAAAGAAATTATGAGTATGTGCATATGTGTATATGACGAAGTAGAAACTTGTCTGAAAAGTTTAGGAGCCCTTGGGAGAACGCAACCAGCTAATGAAGTCATTGCCACATGGGTCAGATGGCAGCAGACATGAGGGGGCGCCCAGGAGAGCTGAGCCTGTGCCCCACACACAGTCCACACGCACAGCATTAGCCGTGTGCCAGTGACTCAGCCATGACATGGCCTTCATTCCCAGAGTGAACCAGCTCATCATTTTCCTTCGGTAGATGCATTAGAGAGAGCTTTCTGCTTGACCTTCAATTAATAATTCTACTTAGTGGTATTTCGCAGGTTAGAGAAACACCTGCAAGCCTTTTGAAAAAAGGTAAAGATTGCTGAAGACTTATGAAGGGAAAATCACTCAAAGGTTTACTTAGCTGTTTCTAAATGAGGTTCTACAAATCTGTGTGGAAGCCATTTTCATTTCCACGCACAAAGGCCACAGCGAGGCGACACACGAAGCCGCAGGGCCAAAACGAGATGAGGAGCTTTGCCACCTCAGGGAGACCTCTGACTTGGGGAAGTCTGTTTTCCATTAGCACAGTGACCCTAATAATTCCTGCTAGCCAACTCCAGAGAGTTATTGTGATCATGAAGTTAAATTAGATATAAAATGTACTTTCTAGATAAGGAACCTCACAGAAATATTTTAGCTGCACTGGATGATTTGAGACTAATATGATCCTAGTTGCATTTGTTTCCCTTTAGATTCCTCACTTTCTCACATGCAAGAGTCAAGATTTATATGAGTGGGATCCATTCAGCTGTGAAGTTTTAGGATATCAAGTGGCAGAAGCTGGGAAAGAGAAGCTTTCAGGGAGTAAAAAGCCTCAAGTCTCTTCTTTTTAAGCATCTAAAAATATAAGAAAAGTATTTAATAACTTAAATAGTAATGAAACTATTTTCTATATCCTGTCAGAATATATTCAGATGGTCATTTAGAGATAAAGTTATAGTTTAATTTGAGGTTTTTTAAGCCAGACTCATTGAGACAGAATAGAATGGGGATTACCAGTGGTCAGGAGGGAGAGTAACTGGGGAGATGCTGCTTAAGGGTCCAGGTGCAACCAGGAGATGAGTAAGCTTTGGGATTTAATGCACGGCATACCACCTAGAGTCAACAACACCGTAATATAAGCATCAAAGTTGTTAAGAGGCTTACCTCTTGTCACCACAAAAAAGAATCACAGGATGCACTAGAGTTACTAGCTAACACTACAGTGGCATCATATTGCAATGCATCAATGTATCAAACCAGTATGCTGTAAACATTAAACTTACACAAAGTTATACATGTTACACATGAGGTATCTTTCAATAAATAAAAGATTCGGGCTTTCATAACTGTGACACTCAAATGACTCATTGCACCCAAAGCCCAGCTTCCTGTACCTTCTTCTCCAATGAAATGTACTCTTGGGAATGAAAGCATAAAGCATCTTCAGACTGTTGTAGCAAAGCAAGTCCTAACATCATTGTATAACAGAATCTAGAGCAGTGCCGGTATCTCAAGTATTTCTTCAGAGGTATCTCCAGTTACCTCTTTACTACTGCCTTTTAAGCTACATCCTGAGAGAACATCTCAGGCTTACACAATAGCAAAAAACTGTTTACACCAAACAGTACAACAGAGTATATAAAATCACATACGTACATGTGCACAGATATACACAGGCTGTCTTTGCTTGGCATGCCCCCCAATGAGCTCCAATTCCATTTACTGTGGTTTTAAGAAACACCAGTTCCCCCAAAATGGTTCAAATTTCACTCATTGCATTATATTAACTTTGACTAATTGCATTAAGAACAAACCTTGCCAGCAGCTCTTCAGGACACAAACTCTTGTGTAAAAAACAGATGTGCATCATAATCAGTACCAAATCACATCAAATGTTTCAAAGTTCACTGGCAATCTGTCACCACACATCTGCACCTCAGTTCATGCAGACAGTAAGGCATGCAGTTGTGTTGGCCTCCTGTCTCCCAGTGATAAACCCAAGTAACATCTTTATAAAACCATAAAACTCAAAGAGGAATTGGCTAGTAAAGATAAATGTGCAGCAAAGAAACATATTAGAATCAAATTACAAATAAAAATAGAAGGGAGCCACAGAAGATGTAGACTGTGGGACTGCTGGATACCCTCGGCACAGAGCCAGAGGACTTCAGTGACGGTGAGCTTTCGAGGTAAATGAGGAAAGCACTTGTGATGAACAGGAAGAGGTCAAAGGGAGAGAAGTGGGTAAAACCTTCATAATAAAACCACTCGGTAATTTCCAACATTGCAGGCATAGAGGATCAAATGATGAAACCTATTCCAAACTCAGCACGGCGTATGACAGCAGTGTCCTCAGCACGGAGTATGACAGCAGTGTACGCATAGAAAGGGTGTTCATTCCACATCACAAGTTACGCAATAACACCGAGTACTATTCAAAAATACTCCTGGTAGGCATATCACCAAACACTGGCTGGCTGCAAATGTAGCGACCAGCTAAACAAGTCATCGGTTAGTCCTCCTGACTGTGAGGCAGGCAGGTGGAAGGTATGCAAAGTACAAGACCCAGGGAAGGGGTCATGCACCAGGACCAGCACTTTGGTCACAGATGTTTCTCCGAGCCACACTTACCCAAGATTTCACCAGTCCCCTCGCGTGAAGAGATGAAACGTCACTGTCAGAATGATGCTCAATATTCACTGCAGTTCGTCAGCTAAAAACACAGAAACAGAGAATTCTCAATGTTTCTAATGGGTCAAATCACAGTGCACTGAATAATTCAATAATTTTCTTTCCCATGTACAAATTTAAATGACAATAAGGCAATGTTTAGTATTTAGACCAAACTTTGAAGATGTCGTGGAAAAAGTGTGACTTTTCCTATTGCTTAGTGTAATCACTTTGCACAGTTTCTGTTAACATGCTAATTTTTCAGTTCCACAGTGCCACTCAAAGCAACATATGTATCTTCACACGGACGCACATGGGGGCCGGAGAGGGGAGCGGGAGCACGTTTTTAGGGATAAAAGCCTGGAATGAGATTGGATCAAGAATTTTTTTGGCATAATTATAACTTACTAACTTGTTATAATTTGCTATGAAGCCCTTGTTGCTCTTAGGTCCACAAACACATAATGAACACGTGTTTCTCCTGTAAAGTTCATGTTCCTGCTCTCCTTACCGTCAAGGTGACATCTCCACCACCAGACACAGATTCAACAAGCAGCGTGTTCCTAGCTCTCCATGTGGCTGACTCAGGGCTGCTCTAGGCATGACAAGGCACATTAGTTTTCTCGCCAGGATGTTTTTATCATGGAATCAGGCTTGAGGCCTATCGCACTCCATGATTTTAATGTTAAATATCTCTCTTTGCTTTTTAAAAATCTGTTTTCTTCAGCTTCATTATTCTCCCATTGTCTGATCTTTTGTGCTAGAGTGTGTTATTTTTATACTTTCTACTCTCAATCAAAAACATTGTATTTTCTTTTAATACTTCTATTTTGTGTGGTTTTGTTTTAATTATCTCTAATAAAATCAGCCCTAACAATTTTGGCACATGTTGTATATTTAAATACTGAGCTAATATATGTAAAAGAAAGTCTATCGTCTGTAGTATTGAGAAACTTTTCCTGTTAATCTCATTGAAAGTTTTGCTGATACAGCTTTTCTAATAGATTTTATACTTCGCATGCTTCCTGAATTGTCTTTTCCTTTGTGTATAAAATAGTTGCCACAGTCTTGTGGTCAGTTACAAGTTCTTACTAATAAAGCTATTATGTTAAATGATCTGTCTTTAAATAAAAAGTTCCTATTTGCTTACTTATATATAGGTCCTTTAAAATAATCATACAAGAAATTATTTCAAAAAATTTGTTGTACTTTGCTTTTATGGTAGCATCAGAAGACAAAAACTAATTTGGAAATAATAAAAAAAAAATCAATCTTTCCCATTATTGTCAGTGCCTTTTTCTCTCAGAAATATTTTTTTTACTTCAAGTTCAGAAAGATGTTCTCTTATATTAGTTTCTAAATATGTTAAGAATTTCCATCCATAATCCATTTGAAATCGATTTTTTGTGTTGTAGAGATTTTGTGTGAGGTAGAGATGCATTTTCACTTAAAAAATACAGAAGTCAATTATCGCAACTTGATTATCTCTGTCCACTGGTATTCATACAGTGTGCTGGCATGTGTGCTGTATACAGGAGTCACCTCACAGTGATTGATGGACACTCAGCAGTTCTCCCCAACTCTGCACTGAGTGAAGTCACACTGGCAGCTAGAAACCAGCCAAATGTATGGTATTGATACCATGAAAACCAAGGAACAAGGGAGGATGTTTTGGCTGGAGAGCTCGCTTATTAGCTATGAATCACTTTTAAAAAAAAGATTCTGGATATACATTGCTAACATTTTAGTTATGATTGTTGCACCTATGATCACAAGTGAGATTGATCTGGAATTATTTTTCTGGTAATATCTTTGCTTGAATTTGGTATCAAAATTAAGCTATCATAATTAACTTCATAATTTTTCTATTCTCTGTAACAGTTTTATTAAAATTGAAATTAACTCTTCCTAGTAAAACTTGCTGGTAAATGAAAATAAAAGATAAATGAAAATAAGATATTGCTCAATGTTATTACGATTTTATGAACAGTCTACAAGGAAACCAAAATTGTGATATATAACTCAGTTCAACAAAGGTGGTCATCTAAATTGTTCTGGGCACATTTCAGGCTAAGTTTTCAGCCTTGGACAGAAAACACTGACTCCACCTATAACTCTTTCTGAAACATATTATCAAATAAGAAAAAATTTCCTAGCTGACTCCCTTATCTTATGATGGGGTTTTGACACTCGAATCAACTAATAATTGTAGCTGTTTCACATAAAAGGTCACTTTTGACAAATGGCCTCTTGCACATGGTAAAAACACTCTTTCACTGTCAGGCAGTGGTTTTATTCAGTAAATGCAGTTATATAATCAGAAACATCTTTGGATGGGTCACAATATACACAAGGGGATTTGGAGGAAAGCATAAAGCTACAACTTTGTCTTAAATTATCTTTCTAGTGACAAAAAGAAACACAAATTAGTATGAAAAGCCACAGGTAACAGAGTTATATGAAGAGTCATTGCAGCTATGTAACAGTTAATCCCCAGCACATGCCAGGGACAGATGAAGGGATAAAAGACAGGGTGCAAAGGGGACAGTGTATATAAACGTTATTATGTAGCATATACTTGGTAGGGAAAGTTATAAGTAAATGAGAATTCTAAAGTAAGGCCCTTCATAGAAGTCTGGTTAAGTGTAGGCACTTCTTTTACATTTAAGGTTGAAAACTGAACTTTGCATGCAGATCTTTTTCTTCTTTAGTTCTTGAATAATTCTAAAATTCATTGTTTTTAGAAAATTATCCTTTTTTTTTCTTTTTGGAAGTATAGTACAAAGACTTAATTTTTCTCTGAATAGTTTGAGGGTAAATTGCCCAGTGGTACCCAGTGGCCCTGAATCCCTCTGTGCATAATTCCTGTATAACCTCAAAACATCACCCAAATCAAGAAGTTAACATGATACAATACTACCACCTGAGCATCAGATCCCATTCAGTTTAATTGTCTCCATAAGTCTCTTAATAGAAAAGATCTAATTCAGAATAATGTGCTGTGTTTGTATGCCATTTTTTAAAAGTTTCCTTCACTCCAGGTTTTTTCAGTTTTCCTAAAAAAAAAAGTGAACGTCATCAGTAATGATGAACATTTCCAAACGGCGTGCCGTCTGAGAGGCTGCCACAGGAAGGGTACAGCATCCTTCCGTGGCATTCCTGCCAAATACACATGGTCTACTCTAATCAAGACAAATCAGGAAAACCTGAGGACATTTTACTGCATAACTGGTCTGGGGTCTCAAAAGTGTTTAAAATCAGAAAATTATCCCCTACTGTCATTAGGATTCGTTGTAGTACTTGCAGAAGCCAGGTGACCAAAACAGTAACACGTATCAATTTAGTAAAGAATTCCTGTGCGGCACACAGAAAAGGAGCTGGCTCACCATGCAATTTTCTGAAATATGGATGTCTGCTCTCTGAGCAAGAATTAATCCATCCAAGCAAGTGCAAGGGCCTGTCGTGTGCTTAGCACTGCTGCATCAAGTGGACACGGGAAAGAAAAGGCGTCATGTGCAAATTTAGTTTGATAAAACACACTAAGGTTAAACAGTTATGTTGGACGATTCAACAATTCACAGGGAAAAAGCTGAGGTGGGAAGAGGAGGGCGCCCACATAATACAGGGTGTCGGTTTCATTTCTGCCATCACAGTTTACCAGAACTTGGACAGGTTAGAGTGTTGAACCCCACAGCAAAGAAGGGGGGAAGGTAAAATGATGTCCAATGGATAGATTTCTAGACAGTGGGATGAGAGAAGTGGAAAAGAAAAGCAGAGGACATAAGAGACAGAGGGAGATTCTATGCAGGACGACCAAGAAGTGAAAGGCCAAGGTAAGACAGGCCTGAGCCTTCAGGCAGACGCAGAGGGCAAAGGGTGAACGCTTGTTTTTGTTGCTCTTATTTTAAGAGCACAGTAAGAATACGAAAATGTCATTTGACACCTAGGAATCGGGCAACAAAGTGCTGGAACAATCAATTGCCTTTATTGTCAAATCTTGCTCTTAGATGATCCTGAGAGTAGAGCAGGTAAGTCGCCCATGGAAGTGAACATTTGACAATTCAAAATACTAGAACAGACCTCCAGTGAGAACTCGGGACTCAAGGAAAAAAAAAATAAGCATCATCATAGAAACAAGAGCTATCGCCATTACAGTGGACGGTGAAGAAGTGGACCAAAGATAAATCTTCAAGGAATACTTGTAGCTGAGGCCAGTAGATGAGAAATATTATGGAGAGCAGTAGCACAACACACTGCTACAGAAATCAAGAGGCTGCCCTAGCTAACTATCAGATGTCTGAATCAAGTCAAGAAGAGAGAGGGGAGGGGTACTGATAAAAGTGGGAACAGCTACAAGGAATGGCATTTAAAGGGTACGGAGTCAGACAGGCTCTGTTCAGGTCGTAAGACCTGACTTCCCTGCTTGTGACTCATGTAATCTGGACAATATGTCATAGCCTTTTCCTCCACTGGCTGAGAAAAAAAAATGAGATAAATATGGTGTCTATTTCCTAAGATTGTTATGAGAATGAAGTAACTCAAGAAGCACTTAATTCTTGTCTTGGCAATTTATCGTTACCGTATTATATTGGCAGTTGTTTGTACTGAGATACGAGTCAGAATGAAGGAGAATATGCTAGAAAAGGAGTGGTCATGTTCAGGGAAAGAGGACCCTGCTCTGCTAGCCCAATAGTACTGCATTGACCTCCTCAGTTTTTTACAACAAACCAAATTAAGACTGGCAGTTTTCATAGATTTCTGAACCTGCAAAGTTTTTCCTACCAATGGATAAATTCTGAAGATTTGTGATTTACAATAAAGAAATCTTAATTTTCCAAAGAAGCTTATAAACTCAGTACATCTGGAATTTTCCCACAGACTATAAGTAGACATTATGACAGTTAGTTACTTGATTTCTTGTTATTCAAGAGCCTTACAAACCACTTCTGAAATGACTGTATCTTATTGCCATTCTTAGGTCTGCTCTACAACAAGCTAAAGTACTCACACTCATTTTTTTTTTAAACAAAAGATGTAGAGGGA